AATAAGAAAGTAATTTTATTACTATTGCGCGAGGGTCCGCCTTACCTTAGCCTATTTTACCCGCTTTGCCCTCAAAGGTGAGTCCAGTGATGTCGTTCGAAGTAGAAGGAAACCAAGGCTAGAAGAAGTGGTACTTTTAAAGCATCGGTGTCATGAGATGTCACAACCCATACAGGCATCTAAGTTGTGCGTGTGCGCGTGGAAAAGGCGCACCTACCGAGCGGTATCGATCCGACTTGCAGAGCACCGACGCATGCACAAGATTTTACTCTCATAGGCTTATCTCTCGCTGTTTCCTGTACTTTTTTTTGCTTTTCCTGATATGAACTGCATTACAGTGGATGTATGCATCTTTTCTAAATATTTGCATTTATCAGCAAGCCACTGGTAGAAAGCACGGAACAATATCATCTCATTTGATGGTGACAGTGCCTCCCTTACCCTCTAATTATAAGCTAACTTTTCTTATAATGTTGCATTTGTTACGCCTAATTACTCATGATTTTCTGTTTGGATGAATATCATTAAATTTTATCAGTCATTCAGGAAAAGAAAAAAGCAAATTAAGCTTAATGACTCCCCTTAAAATGTCTGCATGCCTCGGTGGTGGAGCCATTCAGTTCAACTGTCTAAAGTGTGATGCAAAAGGGCCTAGAGGTACAAGCCTGAGATGAATCTTGTGAAACATTGGGTGTTTTTAAATCTAAATGCGTGTCTTGTTAGTTGTTTCTTGTGTAATTAATAGCCAGTTTAATGTTTCATGCAGGCAATAAAAATTGTAATGATCTTTTTATATAATGCACAGGCAAATAGTGAGCCGGCATACCACCACCTTACCACAAAATTCATCATCATTGAATTTCTTATTGTTAGAATAGATAACAAGGTTGATGACTCACCCGCCCTTAAATTCACATCTTAACACCTTTCCCTTGTTCCCATTTCCTGTACAAATTATAAGCTGTTTCTTTTTGCATAGACTGATTTGCCTGTTTTTGTACCTCGTATGAAGGAATTTTTGGACAAGCCAGTCATTTGTAGTTAAGTGAGTGAAGGTATCTTTCAACACGGACTTCATAGCTAGCAATATTGGCGAGATTTTAGGCCTTTCGTTTTCTGTCCGTTGTCATTCCACCGATTAGTCTCGACACCTTTTCCAACAAAATGATGCCACTGTAAAGAAAACAGCTTTCCATCGCCACTGTTTACACATTGGCTGCGAATATGCCTTCCAAACTAAACACAAATAAAACCTCTTTTGTCATAAATAACAAATCCATCTCAATCTTCTGTGACTTTGAAGTTGAGTTCATCTTTTTTTTTTTCCTTATCCAGCAGATTGTCTCACTCTATCCACAGGTTTGCTGCAATTCCGTTTACAAGTCACTGAACGAATGGGTGAGAGATCGGTCGAGAATTAAGTTAGCTTTACAGCTTGGATAACACCTAAGACCTAAAAAGGAGTCTTAGGTCCGTGATACCGCTATTATTAAGGTTATGTAAGCACAGTTTTATTTGGACAATCCCCAGCCAGTTGTCAGGTGACGACAGCAAATAAACCGACATAAAATCAGACAATGTCCTCGCTACCCTTCAAGTAACAAATGAAGCGGCCCGCAATTGTCGCGCTGTCAGTAGGCAACAATAAAGACATTGTAGCAGAGTTGCGGTGCGGCTAAACATTTAATAAAAAGCGCTTAAAGCAAGAAAGGTTTGTCATATACTCTAAAAATGTATTCTGCTGTTTGTAATTAGGACTGCAGCCAGAAGTCTTCGGCGTCTCACTTCAGACGTGACGTCAAACCGGTCCTTGGGATCTTGACATTTCGTCAATTACCTCTCTCACAAACACCTATTGGAGGACTATTAAAAATTTTCAGTCCATAAACGCAAGCATTATCAATACCATTCGCCATTTTAAGATGATCATGTTAAAATTAAGGAGTAGGAGGATTTCATGTGTCTTTCAGTGCAACAACCGTGTTCAAGATGGATCCACATGATCGGTGAAGCATCACGAGCTTACTGGCGGGTAATCACTACTATGAAGGGGAGCGGTGTCTGTCTGACCAGCGCTACAAGTGGTAACTAATGTGAGGCTCAGTTGAGGCTCTCCAGCCAGCCATAATGTTACGCATTCTTTCTTGTGTACCACCTTAAAAGCCAAGATTAATCTAGTGGCCTTTACTGTTTCGATAAACTGAGCGCAAAAGAACTGCCTCTCGAGGCTCCTTCCAATCAGATGACATCAACTGCCAAACAGGCTTAGAACTTGGGAAAAATGTCATCAAAGTGTTTGTTTTGACTGTTGGGATAATGCCCTTCCCTACGAAGAGGTGATGGCTTTGCATTCTCTGTGGCAATAATGACTTAATAAGCGCCGTCAAAGACGGTCTGACGTTTGGAGGTGAGGAAGAATGTTGTTAGTGGCTTGCAAAAAAAAGAAAGAAAAAAAAATAAACCTCCAATTATGTAGAGGAATGAGTTTCCTTTAGTTGGGAAAGTTGCGGTCACTGTATCGCCTTCAAGTTACAAGCCAATTTTACTTGACTCCTCAATCCCATTCTGCATGACGACCTTTCAAAGTGACGGGTAGTTGCCGGGGTTGAAGACAATCGATGTAGTCTGTAAAACATAATACATATCGACACACATTCACCCTGGCATTTAAAATAGCTCCTCTCCACCTTTTAACTCTCACCCTCATATGTATGCGGAAGTTTGTTGATGCGGAGCTTTACTATATTTTATTTTATTTTTTAACTTTGATGTTAGTTTTGATGCTCGGTCAGTGCAATTTCGTCTGCTACAAATGGAGACCGCCAAATGGGAGTGCAAAGAATTAAACAAACTGGCAATGAAATGGAGAAAACATACCTTGGCAACAGTTACGACAACAGGGTTGACTCTCGCATTTGCACGAAGCCTTGTAAAAGAGGCACTGCATAA